GGGACCCGCGGGCGTGATGGGGCTGCCCCTGGTCTGAACTCCTCAGTGGGGCGGTCGGACACAGAGCAGCTGGGCACAGCCTCTGCGGCTCTGACAACGAACTGAATCCACCGGGCCAGGGTCTTTAAATAATTGAGTGCCCTTGGCAACCGGTGTCCAAATGCGTAAAGAATTTCAGTTACGAGAATGTCTTAACCTTTTCATTCTAGTCTCAGACATTCACGTTCCCCCCCGTTATTCACAGCCTGGGACGACATAAAACATACAGCCGCTGAGCCCTAGCCAGTGTGGCTCAGTGGATAGAGCGTCGGCCTGCAGACTGAAGGACTCAGGTCAAGGGCACGTGCCCGGGGTGTGGGCTCGATCCCCAGTAGGGGGCATGCAGGAGGCAGCCGATCCCTGATTCTCTCTCATCACGGATGTTTCTTTTTTCTTTTCTTTTTTTAAATATATTTTATTGATTTTTTACAGAGAGGAAGGAAGAGGGATAGAGAGTTAGAAACATCGATCAGCTGCCTGCTGCACACTCCCTGCTGGGTATGTGCCCGCAACCAAGGTACATGCCCTTGGCCGGAATCCAACCTGGGACCCCTAAGACCGCAGGCCGACGCTCTATCCACTGAGCCACACCGGTTAGGGCCATCACGGATGTTTCCATCTCTCCCTCTCCCTTCCTCTCTGAAATCAATAAGGATCTATTTTTTAAGGAAACCCAGCGTTTGAGAAGAGGACGCTCAGGTCACCGGGACAGCGGGGAGCCACCGTGCTGAGGTGGCAGTCTGCGGTGACTCATGGTAACTCAGCAAACTTCACACAGAGGGAGGACTATCATTCGGGGTGCCCCCAGGGTCACCTGGTACCTTTCCCATTTGTTACAAACTGGGTGCTTCTTTGAAGCTAACAGAGTCCTACAATGCTGAGGTGTCTTGTGGGGGGAAAAAAACGATTTAAAAAAATATATATTTTATTGATTTTTTTACATCGATGAGAGAGAAACATCCATCAGCTGCCTCCTGCACACCTCCTACTGGGGATGTGCCCGCAACCAAGGTACATGCCCTTGACCGGAATCGAACCTGGGACCCTTGAGTCCGCAGGCCGACGCTCTATCCACTGAGCCACACCGGTTAGGACAACGATGTTTTCTTATTTCCTTCCTAGAAACAGAAAAGAGCTAGGCGGCCTGAAGAGACCGGCCCGTCTCCTTGTCTCCCTTTGCTGTGGATCGTTCCTCCTTAGCAATTCTCCCCAGGTAACCCCTGTGCGTTTCATGTTGTCACCGCGTGGACTGTCCCTCCTTCCCCCTCCCAGGCGGACGGACACACAGACAGGCAGACCAGAGCCCCACGTGGGAGACCAGCCCCCGGTGAACCCAATGCTCCGTAAACCTCGCTGAGAACCATCCACCTGAGCCCCGGGGGCCGATGCACACGGTCAGGATCTGATCTGGATCGAGGAGACAGTCGCCAGGTACAAACCACTGCGCAGCCCGGCCGGTGTGGCTCAGGGGTTGAGCGTCGACCTAGGAACCAGGAGGTCACGGTGCGATTCCCGGTCGGGGCACGTGCCCGGGTTGCGGGCTCCATCCCCGATGGTGCAGGAGGCAGCCGATCCGTGAGTCTCTCTCATCACGGATGTTCCTATCTCTCTCTCCTCCTCCCTTCTTCTCTGAAATCAATAAAATATATATTTTAAAAATAAATAAATGCCATCGTCCATGTCTGACGCAATCCGAGCAATCTTTTCCTGTAAGAATTGACTCCGTTTCACAGACCAAAAAAGGGAAAGACACAGTAGAAACTAACAGATAAGCCCTCTGAGGGTCTGGTTCCTGCTCAGGGAGAGAATGACCCCGTCTTTTCAGATGGGGTGCCTCTCTGCACCCGCAACGCCCCCCATGACCCCTTTACAACCTGGCCTTGTGTCAGGGCAAAACCCTTCCACCAACTCTGAGGACAACACCCAGAATGAACAAGAGAAGTCAGAGAACAGCCTAAAACCAGGAGATCGAAGCTCAGAGGAAGGCAAGGTACCCCCAAAGTCGCCTGCTTTTGAATGGAGACCACGGCCCAGGCAACGGAGAAATTGCAGGCGCCGGTACCGCATGGACGTGGCTGCCATCGGTATCGGATGACGTCCCTTCAGAATCAGCTCTAGCCCTGCGCCCTCCGACTATGCCCGACACCTGACACCCCACTGTTATGGGTCCAAACCCTGAGCACCGGCATTTTCCCATTTTCCCGTGCGCCAACCCCACCGTCCGCAAAACCACCTGACCTCGGCGGCACCCCATTCCCCCCCCAGGTGACTGGACAAGCAAAGCTGGTATTCTTGGCCAGGCGTATAGTCATGGCATAAAAGCAAATGCTTGATTTCTTTCGCGCCACAGTCATTTATAACAGTAACAGTAGCTCCTAGGTGCCAAGCCCAGACTTCCTCCCGGCGGGCCAGGAAGACTGGCCTCAGCTCCTCCCCGGAAAGGACGCTGGCACTTTCTGTGGTGAGAAGCTGCTGGCCTAGTGCACCCATGGGCCTCGGCGACCAGAGGACCCCCGAGAACAACACCTAGGGGTGCCCACTGCTTCTATTCTGGGCAAGACAGGGGCTGGCCGTGCTGATGGGCTGGGTGACAATTATCTCAGTGACTATCCATCCACAAAGCTCTCTCTCTCTCTCTCTCTCTCTCTCTCTCTCTCTTTCTCTCTCTTTCTCTCTCTCACACACACACACACCTGCAGCATGTCTAGTATCTACCCAAGTTGTCTGGTACTTTTTCGGATAACATCTTCCTAGAACATGAAGTACGCTAGTTTTACCCGAAAAACCGGCTCATCCTCTGCCACAAAACCCGTGTTTTGACACCATCCCGAACTTCAGATGCGTCATGAGCAGGTCAGTACCAGACCAGCAGAAAAACATCCTGGGTGTAGGATAGATTCTAAATTGTTAGCATTCTCCTTACCTGAGCAAATCCAGCTCTGTCCTATCCATGAAAAAAAAATCCATTGATTTTGCTAATTTTACAAACCCTAAGAGGCCCCGTTTCCACCTAGTTTATCCTTAAGTGCCCCTTGCACTGATTTCGTAAATGAGCTCCTGTTTTGCATGAATAACAGGCTTTCTCGGGAACTACAATGCAATCGGAATACCAATAGTCAGAGGTCCACTCCCCTGGCCAGTTTGGCTCAGTGGATAGATCCTCAGCCCGCGGACTGAAGGGTCCCGCATTCGATTCCCGTCAAGGGCACCTGCCGGGGGTTGCTGGCTCTGGCTCGATCCTCGATGTGGGGCGTGCGCAGGAGGCAGCTGATCCATGATTCCCTCTCACCACGGATCTTTCTGTCGCTCTCTCCCTCTCCCTTCCTCTCTGAAGCCAATTAAAACACATTTTTAAAAAATTCACACATAAAAACCAAGACTTCTTGTTTACTTCGGGGTAAATGCACTTCCATTTTAGTCATTCGCCCCAGACTTCGGAATCCTTGTCTTACAGAATCCTAGCCGACAGTGTACTAGCAGTTATTCACAAATCATTACCCAAATACTGGATGTAGCCCAGGGATTTCAAAACAAACCAACCCTGGCAGGTGGGAAGGGTGGGGGTGTGTGGGTGAAGGCAGAGTTGAAGTAACAAAACAGATTCACCTGCCAAGGAGAGGGGATGGGGTGCAAAGGACTCCTGGCAGGGGAACCACAAGGCCCGATTCGGGGGCCACACTGGCCGCTGGGAAGTGTGTGACCTTGTGCAAGTCAGGATGATTGTTCAAAAGATCAGACTGTGCCCGGCCAGTGTGGCTCAGTGGTTGAGCATGGACTTATGATCCAGGAGGTCACGGTCGGATTTCCCGTTAGGGCACATGCCCTGGGTGGTGGGCTTGATCCCCAGTGGGAGGAGGGGCCGGTGGGGGGAGGGGGGAACGAACAAGAGACAGCCCATCAATGCTTCTCTCTCATCATCGATGTTTTTATCTCCCTCTCTCCTCCTCCCTTCCTCGCTCTGAAAGCCATAAAAACATATTTTAAAAACAAATAACAAAACACAAAAGGCCAGATGCACTGAGCGCTCTCTAAGACACACTCCAGGCGCACCTCCGGGCAGGTGTATGTGCCTGGCTCAGCCGCAGGGGAAACCCAGCCTCCATTCATCGAGACCAGCCCAGCAGCGCTGGCTGCCCCGGGGCGCAGGGCCGGCCTCGGTCACCGGGGGCGTGGGGCGCTCCTCCACTCCGCCCGCCCTGCTGGGTGAGTCCTGCGAGGGAGGCAAGTGCGCCTGGAAGTTTCAGGCTGGCTTCCCATCCCGAAAGTTCAAATACTGCTGAATCAGGGCGGCCCCATTTTGCCAGATCCGTGGCATTCCCTCACCCCTCCTCCTCCTCCTCCTCCTCTGAAAAAAACAAAAAACACCAAACAAACAAAACCGGATCGGCCTGCATGCCGAGGTCGCCCCAGGAGTTGTGTGATGCCACTCGGTCCCCTAGCTGCCCCCCTCCCCCAGGTAGACAGGAGCCCACAAGCCTATGCATCACCCAGGGAAGGGCGCCCGCGGGAAGGTGACCCTGCCACGCGTGATCCTGCGAGTCTGCGGCCTGTGCGCGCGCGGGATGGGTCCCGGGGAAGGTGCGCGCCCTGGGACCTCGGAGTTTCCCCGCAGCCCAGGGCCCAGGCCAGAGCGGTGTGGGTCCCATCCAACCAGACGCCTGGGGATCGGAGACCCAGAAAAAAAGACGTCGCCCATGAAAGCCCCTGGAGCCACCCAGGCCGAAGGCTTTAGGGTCCACTTCCCAAGAGTTACCGGCGGCAAACCCCGTCCACGCACTGAGGCCACCTCCCCAGCTTCCGGCCCCACGAGCCCGGCCGGGGCCAGTCTCCCAGCGAGGGGAGGTGGCGGGTGGCCGGGTGGCCGGGGTGGGGGGGGCGCATCGGAGAGGCGGGGAGGGGGGGCGCGCAGGGAAGGGGGGCGCGCGCCAGGGGGCCGGGCGGCCGGGGCCTGGGGCTCCTACCGGTGGTGGAGAGCACGGTGCTGGCGAAGAAGAGCGCGGAGGTGAAGTCCCAGTTCCAGCTGCCCGAGGCGTTGCCCAGCGCCGACACGCCGTAGTTGCTGGCCTCCAGCACGCGGCCCAGGAAGCGCTCGAGCTGCGCCTCCGACAGGCACTCGTGCTGCTCCAGGAAGCGCCGCTTGAGCTTGCGCAGCTCCTGGCGCAGCAGGTCCTCGTACGGCAGCTCCACGGACGAGAAGACCACGGCGCCGAAGACCAGGTAGAGCAGGTAGCCGAGCACCAGCAGGCCGAAGCACCAGGCCGAGCGGTGCCGCTCCACCAGGCGCCCGCACGAGCTGCCCGCCAGGGACTGCAGCATCTTCCCGCGCCGGGCCCCGCCGAGCCGGCCGCCCGCCCGCACCCGGCGATCGGCTCCCCGCGCCGCCCGCCCCGCCCCGAGCCCGCCCCGGTCCCCGCCCCCCGCGCCCGCCCCGCGCTCCCGCCCCCCCGCGCCCCCTCCTCCCCGGCGCGCGCCTCCCGTCCCCCGCGCCGCCTGGCGCTCCGCTCCCGCCCCGCCCGCAGCGGCCAGCCCGCGCCCCGATTGGCTGCCCCCGGGGTTTTCTTCGCTCTTTCCTGCTTCCTGGGGCGCCAAGTGGCGGGGAGGTGGCGCTGACGTGGAGCCGGCGCAGGTAACCCGAGCGCCCCGGGCACCGCGCGCGCACTTGGCCCGAGCGCCAGGCTGGGCGGGGGCGGCTCCTCCGGCTGCACTGGGTTCAGAGGCAGAACCGGTTTGGCCCCTGGTGGGCGGTGAGAGCATGCGCGTGTGGATGAGTGAGTGAGTGAGTGTGTGTGCACGCGTGTGTGAGGGTGTGTGTCTGTGAGGGTGTGTGCACGTGCATGCCTGACAGTGTGTCCGTGTGTGCATCTGTGAGATTGTGTGTCTGTGTGCACACCCGTGTGTGTGCATGAGCGTTTGTGTCTGTGAGTGTGCTCACATGTGGGCATGTGCGCGCGCGTGTGCACTCATACGTGTGGGTGTGTGCACATACGTGTGCACATGGGGGTGTGCATGCACGTGCGTAAAGGTATGTGTGTGTGTGAGTACACGTGCGTGTGTGAGCATCTGTAAGAGCGTCTTGGTGTGTGCATGTGAGTGTTTGCGCACGTGTCTGTGAGTGTGCGTGGAAGTGTGCGTATCTTTGTGGACTCGAATAGAGTGTCTGTGCCTGTGCTGTGGGCTATGCCCCGCTGTCCAGGCCCCGGTGACCCAACAGTGAGCCCTGGGGTCCCCATCATGGTGGGTCCAGCCCCAGGCACCTCGGCTTCCTACTAGAAGCTTCCGCCCACCTCCGCACACTCCACAAGAGGTGCCAGAAAGCCCAGGAGAGCGTGGAAATGTCCCATGACGGAGCTCTCTCTCTTTAACACATGAAGAGTGACAAGGTGCCCAGAGGGACGGAGTTTGCCAAGGGGTGTTTCTTGTGAAGGGAGGAGGGCCAGGGAGCCGCCCCATGGTGGTGAGGATTGGTGTGCCTTTCCTGGAAAGGCGATTGCACATGTGGCAGAGTTTGTGTACCCTGCCTCCATGGGGCGCCTAAGAAAAGGGAATCAGAGAGGCAGAGGCCAAGATTTATAGACAAGAATTCATAAACAATATGTATGCATATTACACATATAAAACATATATACACACACACACATATGTGAGATCATGAAGAATCAGGAAAAATCAAATGTTCCAAAATAGCCTAGCCGGTTTGGCTCAGTGGATAGAGCGCCGGCCTGCGGACTGAAGGGTCCCAGGTTCGATTCCGGTCAAGGGCACATGCCCTGATTGTGGGCTTGATCCCCAACAGGGCATGCAAGAGGCAGCCAATCAATGACTCTCTCTCATCATTGATGCTTTGCTCTCTCTCTCCCTCTCCCTTCCTCTCCGAAATCAATATAAAGGGATGGGCTTCCAGAACCCATCCCTTATCAGCTGGTCCCCAGTGAAAGGCATTGCCTGGGGGCCAGGTTGATCACAGCTGCGACCATCCAGCCCTGAGTTTCAGCTACACCTGCACCCCAGCTCTTCTGTACCCCAGTTCCCCTTAAAGCCCCGAGACCAGAAGATAGAGAAATACCGGCTTATTCAGCATCAAAGATCTTTATTAACGTACCTTTCCTAGTTGAATACAAAGAAAACGGTTACAAACTACAGTCAGCCGATCAGAGCCACTGAGCATGGAGACCAGCCATCAAAAAAAGTTTATTAAAAAAATAGACAACGTGTGTAAACACCTTTTCCAAGCGCGCGAGGCTTCATAATACAGCGCACAGGCCCGGGCCTTGGGTCTTGGCAGGGGGAGCACCTTCAGTGTTGACTAACAGGGATCGGGTTAATTTATCTTTCAGGGGGCTACAGGTCTACAGGAAAATAAATAACAGCTTCCGCTCAGTGTGCACATAGAGAATCGCCAATGTACAAGAGATCCCAGTGAGAACAGACCATCTGCAGAGACGTGACAGCGTAAAGCGTCTCTGGTAATTCTCTCTTTAAATGGCTTCCCTTCTAGAGTCATTAAAACAGAGGTGACTAAAATCAAGCTAAACGGGAACAGGAAGCCGGCCGGCGTGGCTCAGTGGTTGAGCGTCGACCTAGGAACCAGGAGGTCACGGTTCGATTCCCGGTCAAGGTCACATGCCCGGGTTGTGGGCTCGATCCCCGGCGTGCAGGAGGCAGCCGATCCGTGATCCTCTCTTATCACTGATGTTTCTCCCTCTCCCTTCCTCTCTGAAGTCACTAAAAATACATATTAGGAAAAGAAAACAGGACCGGAAGACAGGGACAAGCCGGATGGACACCCATCACAACCCCCGCACCCCAGTACTTTGGTAGAAACACAACTGAACGCGTGGTTTCTCTATGCCTCTTCCAGGTATTAATTCAACACCCACCCTAAAGTAAAGCCGCATCGTAGAAGGGACAGTAGGTAACACGGCACAGCGCAAGAAGCACCTGAGATTCTGCTGGGAGAAATCTTACAACACAAGGCTGTTTTCTTCAGGGAAAAATCCAGAATGAAATGAGCTGTGAAATAGCTACACGGCACTTGAGTCCTAACAGTGCTGCTGCTTCTGCACTTGGCAGTGTTTCTCTCCAACTGTATCTGGGGTTATTCAGATAACGACGCGTTGAAACAGAGAAAAGTGACATGACGTGACCTGAATGCGTACAACGCAATGATACGCGTGTCCGTTTTTAAAGATTCTGCCACAAAAGGAGAAGGCTTTCCGTTCTGGGGGCGGAACCCCTGGCTGCTGGAGCCGGAAGCCCCACTCTCTACGGGGAGGACCGGGGAGGAAGGTCTCAGGCTCACACATCGCTTGGAGCCCAACGCCAAGGTCTGATCGTGTGCACATCTGCTTTGGACGTCGAATGGGTAAAATGTGTAAGTTACATTCAGTAGATTCTCCTCCAAGAGAGAAATAGTGCAAAGTTCAGGTGAGAATTGGATGTATTTACCCATTATAACCCTACTGTTGGGTCTAGGGCCCTTACATAGGATTTTGTATCTATTCTGGTTACCATTTTTTTAAAAAATAGACACCTTTGCCCGGCCGGCGGGGCTCAGTGGTTGAGCATCCACCTATGAACCAGGAGGTCACGGTTAGATTCCTGGACAGGGCACATGCCCGGGTTGTGGGCTCCATCCCCAGTGTGGGGCGTGCAGGAGGCAGCCGATCCATGATGCTCTCTCATCGTTGATGTTTCTATCTCTCTCTCTCCCTCTCTGAAATCAATAAAAATATATTTCTTAAAAAATAGGCACCTTTACCTACTAATAGCACATTCCTCTTCTTGGCTTTTTGTTGCACAAAAGAGAGTTAGAGAGAGAAAGAAAGGTGAGAAGAAAGGAAAGGAAAGGGGAAAAAAACAAAGGAGAGGGAGAAAGGGAAGGAGGGAGGGAGGGAGGTGGGGGACAAGGTGACCCACCACTTCCTGTGCTGTCAGCTCACAGACAGCAGACATGAGAGCAGCGGGATTAAACGCTGTGCTTCCCTAACTCTCCCCAGCAGAGCTGTGCGTTTTGCGTGGCCACACACTCTCACATTGGAGCGCGTTTCACGTCCCTAGGCAGCAATCCAGCGGCAACACCGTCTCCTTAGACGGCCGGCCTGCAGGGCTCACGTCCACGTCCCTCTCGGACCCATGACCGCTGCGGGCGCGGGGCCGCCGCTCTGCGAGACCCAGCATCACGAAACAACTCAAAGACAGACGCAGTGTTTTAATTGTTCACCTCACAAGAGAGAGAAATGCTTGCATCACGTAAGGCACTAAGACAGGAACTCCTTCTCCAGCTGGTAGACGGACGGACGGCAGCTCCCGCTCTTCACCCGGCACAGGGGCGGCGTGCAGTCCTGGCTCTGGCCCTGCACGTCGGCGTCCAGCAAGGAGGGCCCGAGCGACCTAGTTCTGTCCCGGGCTCCGAGGGGACAGCCCGGGGTCGGTGCCCCGCCGCCCAGGCCAGGGTCGGTCTGCGCAGGCTCAGTCCTCCCTGGGAAGGCCTGGGGGGCGTCCGCGGGGGCTGGGAGGGCGGAGGGGGGAGGCACAGGGGTGAAGGCTTTGTGTTTTCCCGGCGGGGTCTCCAGTGGCAGGGCCTGGAGGGGCAGGTTCCTGTGAGGCCAGGAGGGGTGGGGGGGCCCCCACACCCGCTCCGGGGGCAGTCCTGGAGCTCCCGCGGCAGCAGCTGCTGAGAAAGCAAAGACAGTGCCATCAGGGACCGGGACGTCCGACACATGCATATCAGACAACTAACCAGCCCGGCCCGCGTGGCTCAGGGGCTGAGCGTCGACCCAGGAACCAGGAGGTCACGGTTCGATTCCCGGTCAAGGGCACAGGCCTGGGTTGCGGGCTCGATCCCCAGTGTGGGGCGTGCAGGAGGCAGCTGATCCATGATTTTCGCTCCTCATGGATGTTTCTCTATCCCTCTCCCTTCCTCTCTGACATCCATAAGAATATATTTTTAAAAAACGGAAACCTGACCACCAGCCGGGCTCGCGTGGGCTTTCTGATTTAAGGTGCTATTAATGATTACATATTTAAGTGACCGGCGTTTAATTATCCTTTTCCCAGAATCCAGATGATGTGAAAGGAAGGCATAGGGTAGAATTCGGAGGCCTGTGTGCCTGGTGGAAACACATCTGTAAATGGAGACGCTGGGAAATGCCATCGCTTGTCCGGCGCCCAGATGTGGGGTGACACTCTGCCGCCTACAGTGGTGTCCGTACCTTCCCTCCAAGCGCCTACCTGGGGCCAGAGAGGCGTTGCCATCGGACACCGTCCGCCTGTGACTCGCTGCCCTTCTCTTCGACGAAGCACAGGGAGGCGCGTCCCCACGGGTCAGCTCCGAGGAGGGGGGGCCCAGGTGCCTCCACACCCCGCTCTCGGCCTCGTGTCTGGGTG